AATAAATACATGACCAGCACTTTATTTCCAGCCTAAGACTTTCTGTGTCAAGAACTGCCAGAGGTAGAAGGATATCGACGAGTGGCTTGAGATATATTACAACCTGAACATAACATCTTCTATAATCTGATGTGTGTGTCTACCTTAAGACAGAACACTTTATCTTCTCGATTGTAAATCCCACAGCACCGTAGATCCTTCCGATATCACCCACCATATTTAATAGCAACTTGTACAGATAAAATTAATGGAAACATCACTCGTTACAAGGGAAGGTTTGATCTGCCTATATCAACTTTGATAAACCTGACAATTCATTCTATAAATGATCTGGCAAACCTTTTAACTAATCTGAAGGGTTAGGATAATCCTCTGTCTTGCATTCAAAAGATATTAAATTCTAATGAATTCTAAATTTCATTAATTTTCTTTAGAAAGAGAAAGGGATAGGAAGTAGCAGCATCTAATATTTTTAAAAAAATGATGTCTTTTGATAACAAAATCCAACTGACTTCGGCCATTGCTTTTGGCTATGATCTTTCACAAAACATCTTACCAATAACCAATTATATTCAGGCAAAAAGTGACAATAAACCTTGCAAACAATGAACATAAAAACCTCTTTACTTCTAAGCTCCAAGCTTCTTATCCCATAGTACCACAACTTCTAAAAAATCATTATTTCATGGCTGTTTAAGTTGATTCACAGCCGAAAGTTGGAAACATGGCAAAACTGTCCAACCGTTTTAAGAACATGAGAGAGATTAGATAAAATCCATGATTTTATGATCTCACTTTATCTTTATAAAATGTGAAAGGACAGATCAGGAAATACATTAGCCATTTCTTAGATCTGTTTCAGCACAAGACAGATTACGCAATGCCACAATATCTCTTGACATGAAAGGACAGCGATGCTTTTATTCAGTTCAAAGGAAGAGTTTGTAAACACTTTTTTTTCTATACTAATTATTTGAAATACATGTCAACTATTTGCACTGTTTTTGTATGTTTTACCCGCCTCCGTCAAGTCCTAAATTTAAACGGTAACCTCTATTTTCCTACCAGCTACCCCAAACTAGAACACATTTCTGTAATCTTATATTAGTTGTATAGAATTATTCTTATTCTCGTAAACTTATTTGAAAGGGATTTTAAAGAGGTTTTCTGACACAAAATTGAAATGGTGAAAATCAGTACTATCAGTGTCTCCAAAACACATAGAAAGTTCAGAACACCTTTTTATAATTTCTTTTAGTCAGGATTTTTAAAGGATCAAGCACAGATCACAATAATTTTCTTTTCAAGTAATTTGTATTAATGATTGAGATTAAATAATAAGGGGTTGTAATCCGAATTGTAAAGTTTGTCTTAACTTTAGGTTGAATTCTTGCAAAAAAAAAAAAAACAAAGTAAAAAGATAAAGAAATTTGTTTACTACTGAAAATTTTCTTAATTAACGGATTTCCACCAAACCTCCTGAAACTTTCCATTAATTTTATATCCACAGAACTTGTTAATATTAATATGATCATTTAATAACTAGTACTAATCAATAGAAGAATATATAGTCAATACCTGGGAATGCCAAGCCCAATTCTATAGTTCAAACACCTTCATTTCACTGAACTTTTGTGTTGTTGGAAAAGTTTTGGTTTTAGCACAGTGCTTAACTCTGACTTACAACAAGTTTAATTTTCTGTTAAATATTTCTTAAATCTTACTTATAATATCTGAGAGTTTTGTGGATAGTGACATCATAAAATGTTTAGTTTTAGTGGACTGGTAAGAACCACAGACGTTCAATTGAAAATTTGAATGGTGCAATTTGATGTTATCAGTGTCCAGGATACACATAAGAAGTTAAGAAAACCTCTTTACAATCCCAACAATATCTATGACAGTATCAAATATGCACCATGGGAATTTTACCCCCCATCAAGCAAGGTGTAAACAGTTAGATTCAATTTCTGTCCCTATTTCTTGATATGTAAAAATATTCCCTTTAAACATTGTATTATGAGAAAATAAACAACAATGATATTTTGCCTGTATAAAGGTATATTGATTTCTATAGTTGATATATCTCTTAGCAACTTTCTAAACATATCAAACAATATATATATTCTTTACTCTTAATCTTATTACTAGTCAATATATTCATATTTCTAATTAAAACCCAGGATATTTTCAAATCCATCATGAAGGGTAATATTCATTTTTCAACAAAATCAAGTTTGAAGAGGATTGGGCTTAAGTACAATACAAAAAAACACACATGTTTTGAATAATTCCAATTGCAAAGAAATATCAAATACAAAGATATTCCTTATACAAAGAAATACCAAATACAAAAGAAATATCAAATACAAAGATATTCCTCATATAAAGAAATACCAAATACAAAGAAATATCAAATACAAATATATACCTAATACAAGGATATTCCAAATACAAGAATATCAGAATACAGTGGAAGGGGTATAGAGTTAGATATGTCTTTAGCTTTCGCCACAACATCTTAATTTTTTCTTTCTTCGGGAATACAATCTAACTCATTAGCTTTAGGTGTGAACAGAATTGCACAAAAATAAAAACTTGCCCTTATGGCTTATTATTCAAATCAATAGAATAATTTTTTTGATAAAGTAAAGAGACAGAAAATCCATAACTTGGAAACTTACATTCGATTTGCCCTTATGTATTTTTATTTCAATCAATTCAATAATTTTCCAAAAAAAAAGCATCCTTGATCTGTGAATTGGAAACTTGCATTCGATTTGCACTTTATGTTCAAATCAATATATAATTTCCACTTAAAAAAGTAGCTATTCTGTGAATTAGAAACTTACATTCGATTTCTCCTTTGTATTTTTCTTTCAATCAATTTAACAATTTTTTTATTAAACGAGCAGATGATCCATAAATTGAAAACTTGCATTTGATATGAAGGTTATTGATACTAATTGAAAAAACAGAATTACAGTATCTTCATATATCAAGACCATATATATTAATTTACTAATCATATTATCTAATTAGACTAGGACAGATAATATCCTTATAGCTAGGATGTTGATATCAGATTACTAAGATTAAGGTCACCTTTCATGGCATTAAAATTCAAGGAGTTTCTTGGTACAGGAGAAACTTTGAGCACTTGACCTCGCGATCACCCTAATGGTGATGATTTGAGTAAGTAATTTTTAAGTGTGGGTGACGGCGTTCACGCTTTTCCCTGGTTAAAATATTTGTACAAAAAATAAATTAAAAAAGATCTCAACCAATTTCCTAGGCAACCAAGATTCTATCAATTTTACATGCTTGTGTTGTTCACCTTACGTAATAGCTATATTATATCAAATTATGTAAAATTTCTGAAGTTAAGAAGTGGCAAAAGGAGCAAAGCAAAAAATTGCTGAATTGAAATCATAGTGAAATAGCTGTCAGTTGAAATCTCATGTGATTGTGAATTCCTAAACTATAAAGTGAGCCACTTTAAAGAAAATTTATCCAATGCTGATTGGATAAAAAAGGGTTAAGTTTTGATAGACTTTATCATGCAATGGAATTCTACACCTTTAGTTGATCACCCTAATGTACTGATGGAATCAATCAAAAAGACATAAACAGAAAACATGAGAGCAAATTTCTTATGCAATCATTGAGTTGTAATCAAAAGATGTGGGATGTTGTGGCTCATGAACATATAAAAACAATTCAATATTAAAACTCTGCTACAAAAACAAAGCTTCAACTGCGACAAGTTTCCAATTCCTTAATTACAGTTACATGACCAGGCCAACTTCCGTTCCCAAATGGAATCAGAGAACAAAATTAAAGTAAATGATTTATCATGTACTCTTTTTTACGTCAAAGCTGGATGACAGTTCACTAAATTGAAACCTACATTATCTTAATTGGTATGATTCAGAAACATAAGATTGCGTAAATCTTGTATTCCCTCGGGGTTATCAATGTCCATTTTAGGAATATGCAAGTATTTTCTGCTGCTCTGAATTTAGATGTCATGTCAATAGCAAACATCAGTAATTCAATATATCATGCTTAGTTACTCTGCTGATTTGAATTATATTGAAAATATTGATCGTGATTGGTAAGCGTAGTAACCAGAAGAAAAAACACTGCGTTACATCTTGATCAGGATTTGAAACAGATTGTACTAACAGATTGAAGGACAGTGAAATATATCCAGTAGTGTTTCTACAGCCTTAGAATTGAGGCTAAAGATTTCAAGGTGTAAAGTATACAGACTTTTCAATACTGCAGCATTTGTGGTTAATAAATGCATTTAAATACAGTATTAGAATCAAACAGATCCTCTTGGATGATATTTATCTCAGTCAAACACCTCATCAAAAGAGGAACTATGTAAAACAGTGACTATCATCAGAAAAAAAAATAAATTGTAGCCTTAAACCTGAGCTAGAACCAGCAGGCAGTATCTTAGTCAGCAATTAAGTTTGCTTTTTTCTTATATTAACAGTTATTAGGTTAAAATTCCAGCAAAATACAGGTATTATGTTTCTTATTGAAATGTTAACATAGAATTATTTCAAAAACTTCAGGAAACAAAAAGTAATAATTATAACTCTTCTTATGGCAATTTCTCCCACTCAATTTTTCTTCAGAACTGATCTAATAAAACAATTTTTAAGTAGAAGTTTCTTCTGTGTTCTCTTGTAATCTGCTTATTCTGTCAAAAATACAGGTATTTATTGAAGGTGAAATGAGGAACTTTTTGTAAGTAAAGCAGCTACAACACCCCTCATCTTTCTAATGTTCCATTTGATAAGATAAGTTGCTGTGTTGAGGGCAAGCACCTGCATTATCTATACATTTCCATACTGTAGTTGGATGCCCAAAACTCTTGTGTGCTCGTTGAAAGATTGAAAAATCTAAAGGGGAAATGAATGGTCAGATATTCAGATAAATATTAAAAAAATTCTCACCTCATTCAACAGGCTATCGGTACTCTGAACTTTATTTATAGAAGCTTTCTGTAGACATCCTTTAACAGCACGTTCAATAGAATGATTAAATTTCATAAACAACACATACCCGAAATAACATAAAAATAACAGAAGGGCTTCCCACCACACTATTTTACCATCCAGAAAAAATACTATCAGCAAAATTAAGTCAAAACTGTAGAAAGAAACGTCACGGAATAAAGGCCACCATGTTAGTTTTAACACCTCTTTGCTGAACAACGCACACATTCCAATAACAAACAAAATATTGAACACAGCCGAGCCAACAATAGTACCAATCCCCACATTGTTATTGGCTAAAAACACTCCAATGATACTGATAAAGAGTTCAGGTGCACTACCACCAGCAGCCATAAAAGTAGCTCCGGCCACATCTTCCGACAAGTTTAAGCGTTCGATTATAACACCCAGGGATGGCACAAAGAATTCATCACAGACAATGGCTACAGCAACAAACATGTAAATAAGACCAAGGATATGAAGGACAAACGCACCGTGTTCTAACTGATATTTCGTGAAAGCATCTTGAGGGTAAACTCCACCACTAGAATTTTCTGATGATAATAACTTTCTGAGAGGGAATGCACCATGTTCTGAGTTCAAATGGTCATTATATTCTGTGGATAAAAATGCACTTCCAACTGATGTGCCCAAAGTTAAAATATAGCCCACTGTAACCAGTCCTGCTATGATGCCAATTCTTATCTTTCTTCCTTTTTTTCCTAGTATTGCTTGAATTCGTAAGTTTCCCATAGTTATTGCCTGTTATGTATTCCACCAATTAAAAATGTTACCTATTCAGTTCCTTTGTGAAAAAATCTTCCTTTTCCATCTTGTATCATTATCTGAAATTAGATCAAAATATTCATAAAATTTCAGTTTTAATATTTTTTTTCTTTATGTACCTTGATTTTGTTTGCCCAAATGTATATTCACCCCAAGTCAGTTTTTCTTCTTGTCACATGACTGGCAAAGACCAGCTCTGAACTAGTCACTTGATGACAAACAACAGCTTTGAACTAATTACATGACTGGCAAACAACAGCTCTGAAAAGGGTAACATGACTGGCAAACAACAGCTTTGAACTAATCATATGAGTGGCCAACAACAGCTCTGAAGTAGTCATATGACTGGTAAAAAACAACAAACCTAGACTAGTCACATGACTGAAAAAAGGCCTGAACTAGTCACATAAAGCAAAAATACTTGGCTAGTCTCATGATTGGCAGACAACAACAAAAACATTGGATGCGTGACAAGAGAACACTTCTAAGGAACTCTGAACAAAGATTAAAAACAATTTGATCCTATAAATCATGGTCCTAATGATAATTTTTGTCTATGACTATATATATAGGTACTTTCTTCTATTTTGTTTGAAATTCTAGAAGTCTGTCTTGACAAACAAGTAAAAACCTCGATAAAATTTCCATCACTGTAACATATTTAAAGAAGAAACGTTTCAAAACTTGTATGTGACACCAATGTTAGCCTGGTATGAACAGTATATAATTTAAGATCTCTTTTCAGCTGGAAATCGAAAAGGTTGAAGAATCTTCATCATTATCCAGCTTCTGCTTTCTTATTTCAGTAAGAAAAATAAATTCAGTTAGCCATAACAGATATTCATAAACATTCAAACCATTTTGTTTGAGTCCACTTAATTTACAGGTATTTTAACAGTAACTATAGAAATCGGCCATATGTAGAATTGTTAGTATTATTAATTAGTATAGTATTATGATATACGTTATATGTTATTGTTGATGTTTGGAAACTTACACAGATCAGTAATAAACATCTTTGTTAAACATTTAGAGCTGTATGTGGCGCTCCTACCTTGACTAAAGTTGAACTTTACAAAGTTAGGATTAAAGCTTTCATTTTCATTTGATAGTCAAATTTAAGAACGACTCTCGTAAAGATCGACTGGTGCATACCTTAAGTTCGACTTAAGTCTAACTTTAGTCAAAGTTTAGGTAAAGAACGAGCGCTGCATATGGCCCTTAGAGCTTATATCAACCATGGACATAGTTACTATTGCACTGCAGTCTACAAAGTCAAACATTTCAGAAATGACTGGAGTTTTACATCCTACTTTTCTGATTCTGATTGAACTCATGCAGAAGAAATTTTGCCTGGAAACCGCATTAACATACTCTTTTTCATACATATTCAACTGTCCTGAGATCTTTAACATGTCAGACAGGGCCTTGGTTCATTGTCCTATCCCTACATTTCAGAACTTGCTTAAATCAAAGCCATATGGCCACCATGGTGCTGGTATAAAATGAACATCCTTACATGTGTTTTTTTACAAGTTCAACACCAACAGAACCATTCCCACTACCACGAACAACAACTACCAAGTCTGCTATTATTGTAATTGCTGGAAGTGGACAATTACTTGTCATCAACCAACCAACCATTCTAGTGTGATTGTCACCTTATGTAATATGAGATTAAATACAAGAGTAGTTAGCAGGCTGGTATCATGAGGTGTTAATTGGTGCTAAAAGATCTATACTTTATGAATCTGGTTAACCAGACATATTTAATGAAAGGATATGAAGGTGGAGTAGGATGTTGTATCCAGACATAAACACTAGTAAGTTCCGTTAACTTACAAGTTTTGTCTATCTGAAACAGTGTTGATTATTTGAAATGCTGACCCGTTACTAATATTTAGTCTTTTAAATGATACCGGTATTAAAAACAAAACTCACAGTGTTACCTAGCAACAACAAAAACCTATAATTGAAAAAAGCGGCAGCAATAATTTTGTCATCAGGAAGTACAAAATCCCTAAATGAAATATATTTTAGGTATTCTAATTGTTCGAAGGAGTACTTTTGGCAAATAATCATCTTTCCTGATCGGCGATTACAATCATGTCTTAGTCCCTGATCAGAAATACCAAAAGATAAACTTAAAATGAAAAACATGACATGCCTTTGGTCAGATGGATAAAAAAAACATGAAAAGATTGCTGACATGTGATATTACCAAGACAATCAATAGGAGGGTCAGGGGAGGTTCAGTTAGTGTTTTTTTATAAAACTGTTTTAATAGATTAATGATTTTCGACTCCCAAACTGCTGTATGAATTCCTGCCTCCTGTCTAACTTTAGCTAATTCAAGGCCATATTTGACATTCCTTCAGTATCTAGTTCCGTCTTCATTAGCCCACATGGTGGAGGAAAGTAGGATGTAAAACTCCATTTCATTTCAGTTATCTATTTGACCAAAATCACTCGCTTTAGTGATTGCCTTACGACCTTGTTTGCCTTGTTTGCCTTGTTTGCCTTAACTTTATTTAACAATTATAAGACATGATCTCAACATAAATTCAAAATGCTCCAAAACACTTTGCTTAATGATCAGAAAGCCAGACTGTTAACAAACAGCACCAAACAATATAACTTGGATTCAGTTACTATTATTGGCCAAACAACCAAAAATAAATTATTCAGGATAAAAAAAATAACTCTACAATACAGAAGATTATACAGTAAGAAGAAAAAAAACATTAATATGGAAGATTACCTGTTTCTTATGAGAATGAAGCAGGAAATAAAACAGAACATAAATCTCCTTGATAACTGCTAAAATGTCAATAAACACTCAAAACCTGTCACTTGAGTCTACATAATCCATACAAATACTTGGAGATATTCAAAACATCCAAATAACAGGTTCACCCGGCTACTATCTCTGACTCTTCAATAAGAAGGTAAAAAAAATACTTCTGAATTTGAATTAGATTCCACAAGAAGAAATGGTGATTTTAAGAGAGGAAATTGTAAAAGATTTGAAAAGCTGTATAACAGTAAATGTGTCTGTTTGAGAATGGATAGCATTCGTGCTGTAACTACCAGCTATGTATTTAGATCAATACTAAATGATTGGCTACCAACCACGCTGGTTTTCCATGGATACAATCCGTCTATTGATAATCTTACAACAACATTAATTATGTCAGATCAACTAATTCCATATCAATTTTTCATAACCATGTATTTCTTACAAGTAAGAATCTAACGTATGCCTACTCATTAGGCCCTACATCTTGAATTTGGCTTGAATTGGTCAGCTTATTTCAACACGTTTTGAATATAATACCCATCTTCATTAAAAGTCAATTCAAATGATAGAAAACCTATATTTAATAAGTTAATTGCATTCAAAGAGGATCAGGTTCTAATTATGATAAGTGTATTTTATAAATTTTTTATATTAAAATTCTTCGGGCCTACGTAAGGATACATAATCTTCAAGAAAAAAGGTTAATCCCAAATTGAAAAAAATATGTGCGAGCTATCTTAGTTGTTTTTTAAGCACAAAAGGTTGAGAATGCTAATGCCATACCTTTTAAAATAGACATTTAAAAAATATACATATTTCAAAACTATTGACGTCATTAAAGCTTTTATGCAAACTTATCCATTGTTGTATTACCACGGCAACCATTCAATAATAAAAATTTCAATAATTAAGTCGTTATACTATTTAATTTGAGATCAATAAATTAATGAAAAGAAAGTCCATTAGGTGGTGTCAATCAACTGAAACAAGGGGAGATAACATTATTTAATTGAGTGTGGTCTGAAAATCTTGTTTGCAGAGAATAGATTTGATAGCCTATTTTGGAGAAGTTCCAGTGATAATTTTTAAAATGTTACATCTGCTTTTTTTCCTGTTTCAAGGAATAAAGAAGTCAGAAATGTAATTGAATTGTAAAACACATGTAATTGTATAACAACCAAAGCTATTATTATCTGATATTAAATGACATAAAAGGTCAGGGGTCAGAGAGCACTACCATTCTAAATTTGGAAAAAGTACTGTAAACAGCGAATGCAGAGAAAACATGGAATTATATATTTGCATGACTACAAGAACCATCTAGCTATTGGATAACACCTTTCATAACAATATCCTGTGTGGTTAATTAATAATGACCTATGAGACTAGGATAAGCGTAAGGTTAAATAGACCAGCTGGTTAACAATCTAATGGTAGTTGACCACTAGATAATTGGAGACAAGGAGACAACATATTGAGACATGCACAAAACTTAAACCTGTGATTATTCCATAAAGCTTTTGTCTATATATCTGATTTACAATTGCTAATGACATACAGCAATGAATAATAATTGTAAAGGGGTCCACATAGACCTACCATAGTGATCACTAGTTGTGTATAGTCCCAAATAACAATAGCAGCCATAAGTTTCAACACAACTCTCATCTTGAGTTCTTCAACTTATTTACTGGATATTGGATTGATGATAAAGGTTGTGGTGATACAAGTAAGATACTTTAAATGACTCTTGACACAGCGAGCCATTCTAGAATTAATAATCCCTTATTGTGCTAATTATATCATTATCTAATTCAATCAATCAGTAACTACATTACATCTAGAGTATAGGTGAGCTAGCTTGCATTATTAACATTAATGACCTCAAAATAACTTTCCTGGACTCATTGGAGTAGTTTAATACCTTCTAATTAAAATTTGAAATTTGAAATTA